TTTAAATGTTATTTTTAACACCGTCATTCATATGGCAAGATCAAATGCATTCAACAAATAAGGCATAGTGTTATTCATTTTTCTGGTTTGGAGTCAAAATTAGATCTTAATCTTTCTTAACTTGCAAATTTCTGGTTTAGAGTCAATAATTCTTCGTTTTATTTCCACAGCAGGCTCCTGGAACTTATGGTTACATGCTACCACCAATTCAGAACCAAGCTCCATTTCTCAATATGATTGCACAACCAAACCAAGGTAATAACAACAACGGTTTACTAGATACTTACATTATCTTTGGTGAACAATTTTTTTAAAAATATTCAATTAGCTTTATTTGCTAATAACTTAGGAGAATCACATTTTTTAGAAATATGTTACATTTATCACAAACTTATTTATTTTTCCTTTTGTATCTTTTCTACTTTGAAAATAGGAACCAAAATTTTAGTAACAAAGCTAATGTTACCTATTTATTACATATTTATATATATGTGTGTGTATGTGTATAATAACATTTTTTTCATCCTTCCGCTGCTAGGGTTTTTGTTGTTTGCTACACGATGAAGCCGCCTCGAAGAGATTTGCTTCAGGTGAGTCAATTTTGCTATTTTTTTTACGAGAAATCGCATTTATTGACTAAGTAAATATCGGATTCGTCTCAAATGGGAGTCAATCCAGAACTGAGTTACAAAAATCTTGAAAATTATATCCGCCTTCTTGTCCTTTATATTAAAACTAGTTTACTTTATTAGATTTCTTTGTAGTACTAACGTAAAAAATCAATTTAATATGAGCATTTTTTCTTCATAAATTTTTCAGAAATCAAACGTTATGTGAAGGTGCCTATTTATTTTAATGTAAACTATATATGTAAATGCTTTATATTATTTAAGGGGACAATCATATAAACTTAGGTGGTTAGGAGTTTTTAATTATGAGGTATATAACATGAATCTGAATCTTAATTAAAGATAGATCTTCAAGACGTATGCGTTCATCGTCACTAAATAACTATAAATCTAAAATTTTAGATAATTGGTAATAAATTTTTCAAGCGCCCCATATATTCTATTCGCTTTGTAAGCTATAGTAAAAATAAAATAAAATAATATGTATATATATATATATATATCATTCATGATTTGATAATGCAGTTTGTATTTAAAACTAAAACTTAAAAGTGTGTAAATGTGATAACATATGAAACACTTTGACAAACAACCAACAAGGATGGTGTTTTTGAAGTTACATAATTTTACAAATTTGATATTGAGTTTCATGTAAAAAAAAAAAGAGTTACATGTTTGGAGTTTATAATCAGAGTTATCTTGTTTAATATTAGCATGGAATATTTGAATATTGGAATCAAGATTTGATCTTCAATTGTTAATTTACAAAATGTGCTTTTCTTATGCTTTTGTTTTAGGCCCTTTTACAAACGAGACTTTCCAAAGCAAGAGCATCAGCAATATCTTTTCACAGAGTAAGTACTTTTAAAAAAAATGTATAATGATTTCTTATTTCAACTGTGGTGAGAATAATTTATTAGTTCTAGTTGATCAGTTGGTGAAATTAGATTTTTATGAATTCAAAGCACTTTGTTCGTTTCACTATCATATGGCAAGATCAAATGCCTTCAACAAATAAAGCATACTGTTATTCATTTTTCAGGTTTAGAATAAAGATTTGATTTTAATATTTCTTAACTTACTTGCAAATTTTTGTTTTTCTTATGTTTTTGTTGTAGAAGGCGAAACTTTGTAAGGCGAGCGCGTCAACAATACATGCTGATCCTGATCCAGTAATTATTTTTATTTTAAATGTTCTTTTAAACACTTTCAGTCATATGACAAGATCAAATGCCTTCAACAAATAAGGCATAGTGTTATTCATTTTTCTGGTTTGGAGTCAAGATTTGATCTTAATATTTCTTAACTTGCAAATTTCTGGTTTGGAGTCAAGAATCCTTCTTTTTCATTTCCACAGCAGGCTCCTGGAACGTATGGTTACATGCTACCACCAATGCAGAACCAAGCTCCATTTCCCAATATGATTGCACAACCAATCCAAGGTAATAACAACAACAGTTTACAAGATATTTACATTTTCTTTGGTGAACAATTTTTTTTTTAAATGTTCAATTAGCTTTATTTTCTAATAACTTAGGAGAATCACATTTTTTAGAAATATGTTACATTTATCATAAAGTTATTTATTTTTCCTTTTGTATCTTTTCTACTTTGAAAATAGGAACCAAAATTTTAGTAACAAAGCTAATATTACCTATTTGTTATATATATATATATATATATATATGTATGTGTATAACACAATTTTTTTCATCCTTCCGCCGCTAGGGTTTTTGTTGTTTGCTACACGATAAAGTCGCCTCGAAGAGATTTGCTTCAGGTGAGTCAATTTTGCTATTTTGTTTTTACGAGAAATCGCATTTATTGACTAAGTAAAGATTGGATTCGTCTCAAATGGGAGTCAATCCAGAACTGAGTTACAAAAAACTTCAAAATATAATTTATTAGAGTTTTATGGAATATATGTTTTGGATATAGTACAGAATTGAAAAGATGTGTTTATTATTTCTTTGTAGTACTAACGTTAAAAAAATCAATTTAAAATGAGCATTTTTTCTTCACAAAATATCAAACATTATGTGAAGGTGCCTATTTATTTTGATGTAAAATATATGTGTAAATGCTTTATATTATTTAAGTGGACAATCATATAAATTTAGGTGGTTAAGTGTTTTTAATTTTAGGTATATAACATGAATCTGAAGCTTAATTAAAGATAGATCTTTAAAACATAGGCGTTCATCGTCACTAAATAACTATAAATCTAAAATTTTAGATAATTGGTAATAAGTGGTTGAAGCCCCCATATATTCTACTCGCTTTGTGAGTCATAATAAAAATAAAATAAAATAATATGTATATATATATATATATATCATTCATGATTTGATCATGCAGTTTGTATTTAAAACTAAACTTAAAAGTGTGTAAATGTGATAACATATGAAACACTTTGAAAAACAACCAACAAGGATGGTGTTTTTGAATTTACATAATTTTACAAATTTGATATTGAGTTTCATGTAAAAAAAAAAAGAGTTACATGTTTGGAATTTATAATGAGAGCTATCTTGTTTAATATTAGCATACAATATTTGAATGTTGGAGTCAAGATTTGATATCAATTGTTAATTTACAAAATGTACTTTTCTTGTGCTTTTGTTTTTAGGCTCTTTTACAAACGAAACTTTCCAAAGTAAGAGCATCAACAATATCTTTTCACAGAGTATGTATTTTTTTAAAAAAAAATGTATAATGATTTTTTATTTCAGCTGTGGTAAGAATAATTTATTAGTTATAGTTGATGAGTTGGTGAAATTAGATTTTTATGAATTCAAAGTACTTTGTTCGTTTTACTATCATATGGCAAGATCAAATGCCTTCAACAAATAAAGCTCCATGTTATTCAATTTTCTGGTTTAGAATCAAGATTTGATTTTAATATTTCTTAACTTACTTGAATTTTTTTTTCTTATGTTTTTATTATAGAATGCCAAACTTTGTAAAGCGAGCGCGTCAACAATACATGCTGATTCTGATCCAGTAAGTATTTTTATTTTAAATGTTCTTTTAAACAGCATGAGTCATATGGCAAGATAAAATGCCTTCAACAAATAAAGCATAGTGTTATTCATTTTTCTGGTTTGGAGTCAAGATTTGATTTTAATATTTCTTAACTTGCAAATTTCTGGTTTGGAGTCAAAAATCTTTTTTTTTCATTTCCACAGCAGACTCCTGGAACTTATGATTACATTCTACCACCAATTCAGAACCAAGCTTCATTTCCTAATATGATTGCACAACCAAACCAAAGTAATAACAAACAACGGTTTGCAAGGAACCTCACCTGACTCTGTGCCACCTCGTCTGGGCCGTAGAAACTTTCCTTTGCCTCCAGCAAATTACATGGGCTCTGGTTATCCCCCTGTACGAGGTCTTCCTTATCCACTGGCTTATCCTAGAGGAATCATGAGTCCTCGTCCTCTAAGTAGCTCTCCTGGATGCATATCACCTGGCATTGCCAACAATGGTGGGTCAACACCTTTAGGAATCGGTTTGAGTTCCGTTGTTCAAACCGAAGGTTAGTGTCAAAAAAACCTTATTCTTTTTCTTCTCTCATTTCTTTAGACCTGAAAACGTTATTTTGGTTCTTTAGGTCCGGAAGGTGCGAATCTCTTTATCTATAACATACCTCGGGAATTTGGGGATCAAGAACTCGCTTCTGCATTTCAACCTTTCGGTATTGTTCTGAGCGCAAAGGTTTTCGTAGAAAAAGCCACTGGTGTAAGCAAATGTTTCGGTAAGCTCTCTTTTTGTTTGGTTTTTGATACTCAAGATTAGACATTGTAAAATAAAGAATGAATGCATTTTTTTAATTTTTATGTTGTTGTTGGTTCCAGATTTTGTTAGTTATGACTCACAAGCAGCCGCTCAGAACGCTATTAACATGATGAACGGTCGCCATTTAGGCGGTAAGAAATTGAAAGTCCAGCTTAAGAGAGACAACCACAATGCCCAACAGAGTAGTTAAATCTCCCTAAAAAACCTTCTTTCTCTCTTCAACTACAAAAGTTCTATGACTGGAAAAAGAAAAAAAAAGTGGGGCTGAAGGGTCGACCCGGTTCAAGATTCGGACCGACCTTGAATGGATGGCATCTCTGTGTATAAATCCAAATCTCATTGTGGGTCAAAATACCAAAAAGCTGTAACTTCTTCCTCTGCAAATGAATCATCTTTTTTCTTTCTTTTTTCATTTTTTATTTCTGCAAATAACAATTTGTAATTTATGCTGCATCACTGAAACTCATGTAGACAATTTATGATTTATTAACACTAAATTCATTGAAACTTTCTCTTCTTTCAAATTTTTTGTTGATGATCTGATGTTGTCTTTAGAAGAAGGATTCAGTGTTTCAAATTAAAGAAAAATATCAGATTATCTTTGCTACAAAAACCAAACAGCACAAACACAGACACACAAACACAAACATGGAGAGGGACTACAACAACAGTCAACAGACAGGTTCAGCCCTTGTTGAACCCCCTAATCAGACTCAGCGACAACAACCCCTAAAAGACCCTAACAAATTGGACAATAATCTCTGTATTGATTTACAGACACAACCCACTTTTCTTCCTCCTTGTTTGTTCTCTGCAGCAGATTAAGCAGAAACAAGGAAAGCTACAACAAACAGATTGTGATTGTTACCGGATACCGTGGAAACTGCAGATCAGACTTGAATTAGACGCTCTAAATTTCATCTTAGTCGCTTGTGCTTGGGCGGCCTAGAGTGTTGTTTTTGTTGTCTGTGAATGATACTAGTGGAGAGCATTTAGCGCTCCAGTCTTCAGGGATGCTGGTGTTTGAAACCCTAGCATTGTTGTTCAGCCGACTCAAGAAGCAGTTCTCTATCGAGCTTAATGACCCAATATCGCTTTCATCTTCTTGGGCAGAGCGGCGACTGATATGTTCTTGTTTTTGTTCTTCTTCTCCTCCGGATTCTGAATCTGTGCCTTGTGATTCACAGCTGACTTCCATGTCTTGTGCGTTGTCAGAGTCAGAGTCAGTTTGTGAATTTGATGAGTGTGATGGTGAGTATCCTTCTGATCCGGTTGCTGTTTCTTCTCGTTCAGCTAGTGTTCTCGTGATGAGAGTCTTGAGCAAGTTCATCACTTGAACAGCATGCATAAGAGCCGTTAATGGATCTGTCATCTAGAGTTATGAAAACAAGAATCAGTAACTACAGTGAATCTACAACCACTAGGCGAAGATATCAAGAAATAGCAAGGTTTGTGTTTGTTTTTTTCACCTGGGTCATATTAGGAGCAAAAACCATGGCTATATTCCTTGCATTCATCTTGTTGGACTCTTCTTCTTCAACAACATCAGCCATAAGATCAACAGCCCAATTGAGCAAAGCAGACTCAGTTGGCTTGAGCTGCTTGATGAGTTCAACAGATTCTTCCTCGGTGTTGCAGTTGAGAACTTCCTCAGGAGAAAGACCGTCGAGCACTCCACAAGGTAACTCTCTAAACCAAGCTTTTATAAGACCAGCCAAGCAATGTACATCGATGTTCTCAGGAACTATACCTCTGTTTAGTTGGTCTCTCACATGTTCCTCTTGACTGTTCTCAGGGTTTATCCTGAAAATTCCTTCAGCCTATTCATCCAAGACAAAAAAATCAGATAAAAAAAAAAGGCATAATTATCCAATCAATCAAAACTGAAGTCAAAATTCTCAAAAAAAAATCTTGATTTCATTTCCATTTTCCATACCTTGAGACCTTCTTGAGAGTATAGCCTTTCCTGCATCAGTAGTAAAATAGTCGGGACACTGTTTCCTTTCTCGTCATAAGAGCATTGCATTGATTCCGCCGAGACACCAAACACGCTCACACTGCATTTAATCAAAGAAGATCTCGAGCTTTTAGAACTTTGAAACCATCGAATTATAGATTTTTTATGATAATAAGATCCAATTAAGAAGCATTTATTAAGCTAAAAACTAACTGCAGATCCAGTTTCAAACTCTTAAGCTTTTAAAGCAAAGCAATAATGAAATTGAGAGATGGAGATCTTTGATAACCCTAGAGATTTTAGAAGTATCAATCCAACAGTTACCTAGCACTGGGGACTCGACATGGGATCTCGACCTGAAGCTCGTGAGGGAGACCGAGAAAGCCATGGAATCGATCGAATGTGACATGAGTGATGTGTCGAACGTTTGTTGGCCATCCGATCTCCATGTGATGAACGGCGGAGGAAATCCCTCCTCCTCCTCCGACTACTCCGCCGTCGTCTTGCCGGTTATCCACGCGGCAAGATACCACCGATTTGCGCAGCGCCGTCAAGAGAAACTCGACAAGAGACAGTTGCTGATTCTGCTCCTCCTCTTCCTCTTCCTCCACCGCCGATTTTCCCCTCCCTCCTTTTCCTCCGCCACAACCAACGCCTTTAGTCACCATCACAAGCCCCGTCATTGCTAAGCTTACCCACAGGAGAAGAGACAAATTTCGTGAAGATTTCGCAGCCACTCACTCTCTGGACTTTGCGCTTCTTCTTCTTCTTCTCTCTCTTTGGAAGAGGATGAGTGATTTTGATTTTGAAGTTCTCGAAAAGGTTTTTTCTTTTATCTTTATTTATTTATTTTGTTTTGATTTAATATTTAATAATATTTTTTTGGTTTTTGAATTTGTCTTTTTGGTTGGATTTCAAACCCAACGGCCACTCATTTCAAATTTCTCTCCCTCTAGGGACTGTGCTATGCTTTTAATTTTTTTTTAAAAATCAAATGTGTGGCTTTTAATGGAATCACGTTTTACCCTGAAAAGTTTTATAAATCTACGATTATGCCACTTGTTATATACTTGGTTCTTGGTGGTTGAGGTGGCCTTTCATTTATGGATCCTTTTCTCTATGTCAAATTCTCATCCAACTTTGGTGGTATCATCACTTCACTCCATCGCATTTGTCTCTCATAATCTTTCGACCCTTCCTCAAAACACCACTTGTTTTTTCTTTTAAAGTCAACCACTAAACTAAGAGATATATCATGAACTATATATATGGGAGGATTACTACACTAACCTTAGAAAATATTTATATCATTTGTTTGGCGCACTTTTATTTTTTTTACAAAACTAACCTAGCATACCTAAAACGTCATTTTCGTCTTTGTTGAAAAAAACATAATTACGAAAATGCCATTACTTTTTTAATGCCACGTAGACAGATTATAGCGCTAAAAATTTGATAAGTCTATCAGGCTTTGACGGTAGACTTATCAAATTTTGGTCAACGCAAAAATTTTGTCGGTAGAGTATTAGGTCGATGGTAGATTTATTCGAGAGTTGGTAGAGTTTACAAATGTTGGTAGACTTATCTTGGTAGAGTTTTGACGATGAGAGGTAGATTTATTATGTTTTGGTAGATTTGTTGTTATGAATGGCAGACTTGTCAAACGTGTTGGTAGACTTGTTAAAGAAAGCGTTGACTTTCTTGCATAGTTGACTTTCTCGGTAGATTTATTGACAATGAGGTAGATTTATTTTCTGAGTTGGTAGACTTATGTCATTTGGCAGTAGATTTATGTAGATTTATGTAAAAAAAGGTGTCAATACGTGATGGTAGATATATCTGTTTTATGGTAGAGTTATATCTTGTTGGTAGATTTTTCGCTTTTGTGGTAGATATGTTTGTTTTATGGTAGATTTAAATTGAAGTAAAATTCATTTCGGTGAGTGGTAGATTATTTATTACATGAGGTAGACTTACAGAATGTTGGTAGATTTATTTGTTTTGTGAAATATATTTGTTTTGTGGTAGATTTAAATTCAAGTAAAATTCTTTCCAGTGAGTGGTAGATTATTTGTTACATGAGGTAGACTTACAGAATGTTGGTAGATATGTTTGTTTGTTTGGTAGAGTTTATGTAATCTGGTAGAGTTATCGTACGTATGGTAGACTTCTTATAATAATCATGTGGTAGATTAATTAAGTTTGGTATTTACAAAGATAACCTCGATTTGGTAGACATATGAGGTGCTTATGGTAAACTTGTTTATATGGTAGAGTTATTTTTTATGCTTGAGGTAGACTTAGTTGTTAATGTTTGGCAGACATTTGACTTTATGGATTGAAATTACTTTTTTGTCGTAAAAGTATTGTCCTATCTACGAAAAAAACAGAAGTGTGGTAGACTTGTTTTGAAGTGTCGTATGTTAAATAGGTTTCGTACATATGGTAGACTTGTTCCATGGTTATATTTGAGTTGGTTTTGTTACCATTGACGTTTTCTTTGCATGAGTTTGCTAAGATTATGTCGGTTAACTGTGATTCGATCACAGATGATTATTGGTCTTTACGATATAGATGCCATAATCAATGGTCAAAAATTTCTAACATGAATATTTTTTCTATGATATATGTTTTCTCTAAGATAACTTTGCTTTTCATATTAACTTTGAACATATATGTCATATCTGTAATAACCATCTCTTAACTTATGAATTTTTTATCTTTATTTTTGAATATTTGTTACATTTAACTCTATTTACTTAAACTCTTACAACATCACAATGTCAAATGATTTTAGTCATGTGTTTTGATTAAAATTTTATTCAGTTATGATATACATCATAGTGATAGTAAAGAAATAAATTAAATTGAATAATAACATTACTAGCAAATATGATAAAAATGTGAAAATGTCTGGGTCAATGTTTTACGACAAATATAATTTGAAAACAACAATATTATCATTTAAAATCTAATTATCATTTTTACAAATTCAAAATATAGATATACCATCAATTTAATAATAAATCTACCATTATTTCAAAACAAATCTACCAAATGCAAATCTACAATTCATAGTAAAACATGTCGGATCGATGCTGGATATCCCATCAAAGATTTGTTCACCATGGCAAAGCCCATAATCTGTCAGAAAAAAATAAACAAATACTGTCATTCGTATATAAAATTCAAATATATACGACTGATAAATCTACCATAAATAACTAATAAATCTACCAAACACAAATCATTTTTCAAATAAGTTATCATTAAATGACTAATAAATCTAACAAACCACATCGTTTTACAAATAAGTCTATCATTAGATGACTAATAAATCTACCAAATGATATCGTTTTTTAAAATAATTTTACCATCAAATAACTAATAAATCTACCAAACCATATTTCGTTTTCTAAATATATCTACCTTCAAATAACTAATAATCTACCAAACTACGTATCATTTTTCAAATAAATTTACCATCACATATTATGAACTTTACAATATCGATTTCTAAATATATCTACCAAACGTACCTGAAAAAAATTAGGGATACGGTTTTTACAGAAAAATTTACGCCGCCGACAACCTCCACAACACCACTATTCCATCGAAACAACGTCTGTCCACTGTGGTTGTGCTCGACGCGGCGAGAATGCTGCTAAAGAGTCATGCCAAATATTTCTGAGATCTCCAACACCAAGATCTGTGTGGATCTGCGAAAAAGAGGGAAGCTGTGAAGAGATAAAAAGGGAGAAGGAAGGAGAAAGCTCCAAAAAGAGGAAAGCTGCGAAAAGAGGGAAGCTGCTAACCGGAATCTTTCGAACCAGAGGAGAAATCACTATGTTTGCTTATCAAGAAGCTCTACATGGAAAGCGAGGAAGCTGCGACGGTGGAAGATTCAGAGCTGATGGGACCGTATCTTCGTGCCGCAGAGACGCCGGTGACAAGAACCAATCTTCGGCGCAGTCTTCTTCTTCTTCTTCTTATTCTACAATGGCGACAAGAACCAAATTAGGGTTTTTTTTAATAATCAGATTTTTATTTTTTTTTCTGTAGAAATATACTTGTACTCGTTTTTTTGTAGAAATAATAAAAAAAAATCAATTTTTTAATTTTTATTAATCAGAATTGCATTTTTGTAATAATTTTGAACAGCTGGATAAAAAATCAATTTTTTTTAATTTTTAATAACCATAATGGTATTTTCGTAATAAGTTTGAACAGGTGGATAAAAATATCATTTTTTAATTTTTACTAACCAGAATGGCATTTTCGTAATAATTTTGAACAGCTAGATAAAATATATTTTTATTAACCAGAATGGCATTTTCGTAATAATTTTGAATAATTGGATAAAAATGACTTAAACCAACTTTATAAGGTTAGTCTAGTAAGCTGATCCATATGTTAGGCTAGATTTGTCATTTCATCAACCTTAAAGGCTAGTTTAAGGAATTTTCACTATATATATTTAGACATATCATCATCTTGAGTTAAGCCTAGAACTCATCTTTCTTTCTTTTTCTAGAAAATCTTCACTGTCATATTAATAGTTAACAACTTTATCTTCTTTCTCGTCGAACAGTGCGTTTTTCATGCATATTGTTCTTCCTAAGAGCATCTCCAAAAGACACCTTATAATTTCAAATATAAGGTTTTATGTATCCAAGAGACACCTTAAAATCTCAAATTTTGAGATGTTGAACACTGACACTTTATATTTAAGGTTCAACTGTTCAACACCTCAAATTTGAGGTGTCATTTTTTTATTTACATTTCAGTCCTTTCAGTTATATGTTTTAAAATTAATCATAATAGCTTTTGTGTTTATTATTTTAACTCTCATAATTTAATATCTTATTAATCTTTTATATATATCTTTATAAATAAATTATATATACATATAATTTTTTTAAAAAATAATTTAAAATAGAAATAATAATGATAAATAGTAAAAGAATAAATAACATTAAAATAAAATACATAACAACAATATTACATTAAGCAAATTTCATACAAACTAAAATAACACACGAAAATAAGCAATATTTTATTATTATTTATATATAATATTATATTAAAGTTGTATTAATTAATATTGTCTATAATATTTTTAATATGTATTTTTATAGTTATTTATCAAAATTTTATGATCTGAATTTATTATTAGCAATACTAAGGACTAAAGTGCAAAGTATAATATTTTTAAGGTATCATTTTAAGGCTTATATTGAAAAGCATCACCCTCAAACCTCAAATATAAGGTTTCTTATACCTTAAAAATACAGTGTCTCTTGTAAATGCTGTAAGACCATCTCCATCCCTAATATTGAATGGGGTTCTTAGTAATAAAAAGACATTTAAAATAAATCAAAAAACTTAAAAATCCTTAAAAACCATTGCTTAGAGCATCATTATTGGGAGCTCTTATAGGGGTTTCTAAGGCTTTTTTATTTTAAAAATGTTTTTAGGCCCAATTTTTTTTAAAAAAAAAACGGTTCTTATTTCGAGCCTTAAGAATCAGTTCTTATTGGACAGCTGTCATAAGCGGATTGGACAAAAAAAAGTGGGCAATTTTTTTTCTCTGCATCGGCTGTTTCGTCGACCATTCATCTACCCTGGAAAATTTTTGCCTAAGAAAATTTGTCTGACCTGTTTTATTAAGCCTCAGCCGCCGAATCAGGCGTAATCCATCTCGATGACCATGGAATATCCAGCAAAAGCGAGCTTCGTTTTCTTTGACGCCACTCAGCTACACAGCAAAAGCAAGCTTCGTCTTCAGGA